GTTCCCAGAATGTCTAGGGAACCACCTCAAATATCTTCCTTCTTTTCTGCCTTCTTGTTTTATCCCCAATCACAGAAAATTACTTTTATATTATGATTTCTTAGGACATGAGTTGTAGAAAGGAATAACCCTCATTTAGATTTTTCATACTCCTTTACTTTATTAAAATTATAGTTTTCTTTTAAATTCAGTTTTCATGGCCTTTTTCTTTTCTTTTTTTGTTGAACTATCTCCTTTTTGAACAAAGAGTCATAGGGTTAGAAGGAACATTGAGAATTCACTTAATCCCTCCTTGGCCTCAAACAAGACTGTATCTAAACCATCCCCAAATATAGCAATTTTCAGTACAAAGAAGAACAGGCACTAAGAATTTCCCATTCAACATTCTGTCACATACTTGAAGTTACTAATATACTTTCCCTCAGTCTTCTCTTCTCCAAGCTAATCAAACTCAACATTCAGACTTCTCTCATTAGATTTCCTAAACTTCAAATTATTTTGATCCCACCTCACTTTAGGGCTGGAATTATGTATATAGTTTTATCAAGAATAATTTTTTGCTATGTGAAAAGGGGAAAGTTAATTTACAGACTGAATAAAAAGGAATTTAATTGGAATGAAGAGAGATGTATAAATGCCACTGAAATATAACACAATGGCAATCAATTGAAAAATTAATTTCAAATATCCTTTATTTTATTAAAAGAAATAGTGATGCCACATAGTTTTTAAAACTTTGTATTATAAATCACCAGCCATTTTACATATAAAATGGATGGGAATTAGAAATCTTTTAAAATATGCCATAAATTATACATAACCATGTTTCACAACATGTAGCACAGGAGAAAACATTACTATTATTCATTTGCTTTTTTGTTTTTTTATTTTGTATAGAATTTACTAGTGAAGTTGTAGTTAATCAATGATTTTAACCAGTATAAATCTAAAAATACTGAATCTACTAGATGATAATCATTTCTCTGATTTAAGCCTTGAGAATCAGAGGTGTTTAGAGATTCAGTAAGCACAGGAAAAGAGAAGTAAAGCCATGTTAAGTCATGTTTCTGAGCAGTTTAGAAAGGGAAAATAAGTAATACATTGGAATATGGAATAAAATGGGACGATTCACTTTCTCCCATTCTGAATGGCACTATTCAAAATCTGATCTTTGCTTTTGGAATGGTGAGGTGCTCTAGTCCAGCCAAGGCCTGAGGGACAGCTTTGTTCCCTTGCCTATTGGGATCAGGGTGTACGGTGGAGGCGATGCATTTAGTCTCCAGAGAGAAGGAAGATGCTGCTTGCACAGCACTTCTACTCACCAGTCCGTGCAGCAGCAAGGGTGTTGGCTTTGAAGGAAGCCAACTGTCCTGCTCTCCCAGCCAGAGGTAAAGAATTGCATTGGTGGCCACTAGAGGGAGGAGGATTAGGAATAGAGTAAATTGTGGGGAAAAGGCACCCATGAAAAACGCACATGGGACAACCAACACATCACCAACCACTGCCTAGCAGCTACCTCTCTGAGGGACTGTGATGGGGTCAGCATATACCATTAACCCAGAGACCCAGACAGCAGTAATTATTGTAGTATCCCAGTATATGGCCCCTTAACTTTGATGGCTGGAGACCGGAGTTTGAATAGGATTGTGGGAAACACACAAGCACACAAACACAAACACACAAGCACACAGACATACATTCTCATCCCCCATTACAAGAAGTTGCATCTGTGCCGTCTGATTCTTGCTCATTTTCTTATTTAAAACTCTTGATGTTATTTACCAACAATGTGTTCATGAAAAGCAAACAGCCCACCTTCAAGATAGTCTTGGGAGAAGCACCAGCAGAGACACTCATTGTGCCAAGATGTATTTTACCAACAAATCTGTACAAATTACATGAGGTTAAAAACAAATGGAATATAATATAATTAAAGCAAAGTTTCTTTTGCTAAATTACAGCTTGAAGCAAACCTGCAAGAAATGTTTCCAATTAGCTTCTTTCGCAAACACAAAGCATAGCTCAGAATATGTTTTGCTTTCCATCCTGCCCTCTGGGTGGGCTGCCTAGTGGGTGTCTTACCTCCAGCACAAGTAGCTGAACATTCTGACCAAGGCTGATGATTCCATGTAAAGCCAACTTCGCTGTCTCCACTGCCAGTCCGAGTGATGGGAACGTTGAATTTATACCTAATTCCCAAATTCTGTTCCTGAAGCAGAACCTGCCATTGAAAACAACTGGTGAAGATAATTAAAATGCAATGAGCCTTCATTCAAATATTTATTATTTCTTTTGAAGAAGAAAACGCCATAAAGCAAGTCTAACAGGAAGTTTAACATAACTTTTAGAACACATGCACTTATAATGAATTTTCTCCCTTCATTTTCCAGGGTTATTTGGAGCCATTTCTCTTAGCTGACTTGTTTGATCATAAAAATATTATTATAGCAAGTACTGAAAAGATCAAACAGTCATATGGAAAACCAATATGGCCTTAACTTTACACAGATTTAACACCTTTGGGCAAACCATTTCACATTTATTTACCTTAATTTCACTCTCTGTAAAACAGATAATTAAGCCTTCCCTTCCTGCCTCAGAAGGCAGATTACAAACAGTAGAAATGAAGTGGCAAAAACACATTTACCATGACAAAGAGATTTTCTGAGGTGGGACCTAGAGCTTCCAAGGACTCTGGTCCATCAGTTGGTCTCTTGTAGTGAAAAGCTGTCCCCGCAACATCAAACTTCCTAGGCCAGTCAATAGTCCAGGCACCATTAATATAGTAATCATCCTTTTCAGATTTTAAGGCTAAAAAAGAAAAAAAATCACAGTCCACCTAAAAATATGAAAACTTACCACAATGGTACCATAGTCACCAATTAATAACAGCACTGAAGCATACAATGAATATTCAATTTCCATTTAAAGAGGGTATTCTTGACCATTTTCTTAAGCAGAAATTAAAATGGTAATTTTCCATTAAAATATCAAGAAGATATTCAGTAGTTATAATGTTATTGATAGAAAGGAATGAAAGGTTCATCTGGAGTAATTAATGTGAAACTAGTAAGGAAAATCATGACAAAAAGAATAACTGGGGATGGGGTTAGGCTTTCCTGACCAAAAGTTTAAACAATAACTACATGAATATGGGATTGGGAGAATCTGTGGTACTGGCATATAGAATGACAGATGGAACAATGGAACCAGACAGTAAAGAAATTAATCCAAGTTAGTACATGACAAAGGAAGCAACTTAAATTAGTATAGGACAGATAACAAGAAATGGAACTAAGACATAAGGCTAGATTCTTGGGAAAAATTGAAATTGCTAAGTTTGTATCTCATTCTTTATAAAATAAATACCACAATTCCCTAGGTATTTATGTAAAAAAAATGAAAATAGATACTTAAACAAATATGTGTACACGTGTCCATAGTAGCACTATTCCCAATAGTCAAAGGTGGAAACAACTCGAACGTCCATCAGTGGAATCATGGTATGTATGACACAATGGGATATTACTCAACCATAAAAAGAAATGAAGTACAGGTACATGTTTCAATGAGGACAAACCTCAAAAAAAATTTGCCAGGAGGAAGAGGAGAGGCAAGACTGAGAAGGTCACATATTGAATGCTTCCATTTATTTTAAATATACAGAATAGGTAAACCTATGGAGACAAAAAGCAGATCAGTGGTTGTTGGGGGCTGGGGAATGAGAAGTAACTGCTTAAAATACATGGGGTTTCTAATGGAATAATGAAAGTATTTTGGAATGTATGCTAAATGTCATTGAATTGTTCACTTTAAAATGGTTGAATTCTATGCTATGTGAATTTCATCTCAACAAGAAACAAAGTAAAAAGAAGAGAAAAGAAAGAATAAATGTGTGATGGGTAACTATTTAAATGTAAACAGTTAAAACAAAATGCTAGGAGAAAATGGGGAAAAACTTTTTAAAAATAATGAGGTAAGAAAAGCTTTTCTAAGCATGACAAAATCCTCTGAAACCATAAAGCAAAAGATAAGAGATATGCATGCATAATTTCTTAAACCTATATAGGAGAAAATGTATAAAATTTTTTAAGTGTGAAAGAAAAAGGGTTACCAGCACTGCTATACAAAAACTCCTATAAACAAGACAGTGATAATTTTGATGATTATTATGATTTAACAATGACAAACATATCAATTTAATTTTTTGTTAGTATGCTAGTTTCTTCAACACTTTATCAGGCCAGATGAAAAAGCAGCCCCAAAGGACTCACAGCTCTTAGACACTGGTAAGGACTGTGGTACATGAAAGAAGGGATACCAGGTGAATTGCATGATCTCCCCAGCTCTCTCTCTGCCTGGAGGAACTTTCTGTCAGTGTAGGAAAGGAGAACCCAAGCAGAGCACAGTGGACTGATAGAGATCAGAAATTGTGAAGGCTCAGACAGCTGGAATTTGCAGGACCAGTGAACTGGAGTAAAAGGAGGGAATCTGTTGCTGAATAGTCATCTGTGTATGCACAGGATAAAACTCCATAAAGCTAAGTGAAAAACTACTAGAGAGCTATAAGCAGAAAAAATTTCAGAGTAAGAACTCACAATTTCAGTCACTAGAGCATTCATTAGAAATCCAAAAAAAATCATGTCTTTTTTAATAGGGCTAAGTTAACTGTAGTATAAAGGCAATTCTGGACTCACCCAAACAAAGCTTAAAAACAAGCCTCAAAAGGATCAAGCTGATCAATAAGTTACTCAATACTGTAAAGGAAGAAAATGAAATCCAGACTCTCAGTAAAAAAATACTTAAAAAAAAAACTCACAATACAATATCCAATGAAAAATTACTACAAATAGAAAAAAGAAGGAAAAACATAACCCAAACAAAGAAGAAAGCCAAATAAAAGAAAAAGTCTGGGAAATGACAGAAACTATGGAATTAGCAGAAAACTTTTAAACAACTTTTATACATGTTCTCAAGAATTTTAAAGGAAGACAAATATCATGAGAAGCAACTGTAAGATATATGGATAGATGAATACTCAGATCTCTACAAAGAAAGAAGTATGCCAGATACTGTAAATATGTAGGCAAATAGACAATAACTTTTTCCTATTGCTTAATTCTTTAGAAAAGAGAATTACCTCTTTAAATAAAAAATAAGAACAGTGTATTGTGGGGTTTATAACATGTGGAGAAGTAAAATGTATTTAAAAAATAGTACAAAGGATGGAAGGAGACAATGGAAGCAAACTTTTAAGGGCCTTGCATTAAACACAAAATGGTGTAATATTATTTGAAGGTGCACTGTGATAAGTTACAGATGCATTTGTAAACTCTAGAGCAACCACTAGTAAACAGAACAAAGAAGTATACCTAATAAATCATAGCAGAGATAAAATGGAATACTATAAAATGCTTGATTAATGTGAAAGGAAAAATATACATAGGAAAACACAAAGAAAAATAGTAGACTTAAACCCAGTGATGTTGATAATTAAAATGATCCAGACAAAGACTGGAAAACTATGTCCCACGACCTGTTTTAGAAATAAACTTTTATTGGAATACAGCCACACTCATTCATTAATGTATTACATATACCAGCTTTTACACTACAATAGCAGAACTGAACAGCTGAGACAGAGACTGCATGTCCTGTAAAGTTGAAAATATTTACTACCTGCCCCTCTACAGAAAATATTGTCAACCCTCTCATTTAGAGAGTGCAGTTACAAAAGCAAAGATTATTAAACACAGTAAGAAATAAGAACCAAACTGCATGAAGTCTACAAGAAATATTTTAAATTCAGAAACACCTACATCTGAAAAATAGATGGACAGAAAAACTATTACCATGCAAACACTAAGCAAAAGTCTGAGTGCCTTGTTTAGTATCAGAAAAAATGGACTTTGGATCAATTTGGTAATGACAAAATGCCCAATAAAGCAAGAAGATATAACAATCTTATATGTCTATACACCTAATGACAAAGTTTAAAAATAAATGAAGCAAAACCTTACCAACTAATGGGAGAAATACATTTACAATTCTATTTGGAGATTTTAACATGGTTCAGTAATCACTTAAACAAAAATGCAGCAATTCAGTAAGAATATAGAAGCTTCAATGAAACTATCAACCAATTTAATCAAATTGACATTCATAAATTACAAATCCAATAACCAGAATATATATTCTTTTCAAGTACACACAGAACATTCACTAAGGTAGACTATATTTTGTGCCATAAAACAGACTTCAACAAAAGGACTAAAAACATACAAAGTATGTTCTCTGCCCATAACAGAATTTAAGTAGAAATCAGTAACAAAAAACATCTGGAAACCTCCAAATATTTTCAAATTAAATAATACCTTCTAGGCCTTGAGTTGTAATGTAAGAAAGAAAATATTTTAAACAGTGATAAAGAAAATACAATGTATCAAAATATGTGAGAAATTAAGGTAGTGCTTAGAAGGGAAATGTATAGTGCTAAATTCTTATTTTAGAGTAGAAAAAAATTAAATCAATAATATAAGTATCTATTTTGAGAAGCTAGAAAAATAACAAACACAAAGTGAATTAAAGCCAACAATAAAGGGAACTAATGTAGTGGAAAATACAGAAATAACAGAAAAATCATTTAAATGAATAGCTTGTTCCTTGAAAAGATCAGTAGAGTTAATAATTCCTCCCTAGAATGATCAAGAAAAAACACAAATTACCAGTATGAAGAATGAAGGAAGAGCCATTGGTACAGATCCTACAGACATTAAAATGATAATAAGGGAATATTATACACAAATTTATAATAAATTCTATAACTTTATTACTATTACAGAAACTGAATTATTCATTAAAGATTTCCCACAGAAAAGCCTGCATCCCAGATGCTTTACAATTTAATTCTATCAAGCATTAAGAAGTAATTTTACTTAGACTCTTTCAGAAAATAGAGAAAGAAACAACTCAGTTTATGAGGCCAGGTTAATCCTGACATCAAAACAAACAAAGACATTATAAGAAAATAAATAGACCTTATGAACATAGATGCAAATATTCTTAGCAGAATACTAATAAGTCAATAGCAACAATATAGAAGAAAGATAACACATTACACCAAAGAGGTTTTTATACTAAGAATGCAGGTTGATTTAGCACTTGAAAACCAATTAATACATTTACTATATTAACAAGGAAAAGGAGAAAAAAGCAACACAGGATCATGCAGTAGATTCAGAAAACCTCAAAAACCTATTCATGAAGAAAGCTCTCAGAAAAAAGGAATAGAAAGGAACTTACTCAACATGATAAAGGGCATCTACATAAATCTTCTAGTTAATGTCATATTTAATGGTTAAAAAAAAACCCTCAACATTTTCCCCTTAAGATCATAACATTGAAAGGATGCCTGGTCTCCTCACTTTTATTCAACAGTGTACTGAAGGTCCTGACTGCTATTATAAGGTAGGAAAAAATAAGTAAAAAAACATAAAGATTAAAAAGGTAGAAGTAAAATTGCCCTTGTTTAAGCATGAAGTGATAATCTATGCTGAAAAGAAAATCTATAACTATTAGAACTAATAAATGAGTATAACCAAGTTATAGGACATGAGGTCAGTAGAGAAATGCATCAATTGTGTTGCTACATAATAACAACAAACAATTCAAAAATAAAATTAAAGTATTAATACTACTTATAATAACATAATAAAAGCATGAAATATTCAGTGACAGACTTAAGAAAAAATTGGTGTAAGACCTGCACACTGAAAAATAAACATTGGTGAACCAATGTAAAGATTTAAATTAATGTACATGTAAATCTTTACATGCACTGGAAGAAAATATTTTTAAGATGTCAATCCTCCCCAAATTGATTCCATATAATCTCTTTTTGTAGAAATTTATGAGTTGATTCTAAAATGTATATAAAAGTGTAAAGGGTCTAGAAAAACAAACATATTTGAGAAAGAACATATTTGAGGACCTCATGCTTCCTCTAGTATATCCTATGATCTGCTGGAAACCTCTATGAATCAATATAGTATGATTTTGGTTTAAGAATAAACATATATATAAATAGGAGGGAACAGAAGTAGATCCATATAGCCATGTTAGACTGATCTCTATAAAAGTGTCAAGGTAATTCAATGGGAGAAATGATAGTCTTTTCAAAATAATGGTGCTATAGTAATTAAATATCCAGATGAAAAAATACCCCTGAACTTCAACCCTTACTTTACACCTTACATAAAAACCTAACATGTACCATACATCTAAATATAAAAGCTGAAACTATAATTTCTTGAAGAAACACTGAAGACATTATTGGCAACCTTGGAGTAGGCAAAATTTTTCATAGGATAAGAAAGCACAAACCATAAAAAATGAATAAATTAGATTTCATGAAAACAGAGAAACCATTATGAATATTCATAAAACATATATTTGAACAAAGACTTGTATCTGGACTATATAAAGGACTCTTAAAACTTGATGAAAAGAAAAAAAATTTTAAATAGGCAAAATATTTATTTAGGCACTATACAAAAAGGATACCTATATAGGTAAAATTAAAAAGACTGACAATATTAAGTATTGACAAGGATGTGAAGCAACTAGAAATCTTCTACATTATGGGTGGGAATTTAAATTATATGACTACTGTGGAAAACAGTTCAGTAATTTCTTATAAAGTTAAAGATGTACTTATCATATGACCCAGCCATTTTATCTCCTAAGCTTTTACCCTGGAGAAATGAAAATATATGTTCACACAAAGCCTGTCTACTAATGTTCAAGGAAGCTTTATTAATAATAGTCAGACTGGAAATGACTCAAATGTCCATCAACAAGTGAAGGGATAAATAAATTATTGTATATCCACAGAATGGAATATTATTTGGTAATAAAAAGGAATAAATTTCAGATACACTCAACAACATGTATGAATCTCAAAAACACTATGTGGAGTAAAAAAAAGCCAAATGTAAGAGTATATACTGTATGAAACCATTTATGTGAAATACCAAAACAAATAAAAATAAAATACGTAATGTCAGAAAAAAGATCAATGTTTACCCTGAGGCTAAGGCAAATGAGACAATGTTTTGGAATCATAGAAACATTCTATGTCTTGGTTGTGGCATCTATATATTTATAATTTACATATTTATACTTGTCAATATTCCTTGACTGTACACTTCTAAAGGATGCATTTTATTATATGCAAATTATACCTCAATAAAATTTATTTTTAAAATATGAAATAAGTAACCCATGGAGAATAATCTATAAAGTGCTAATTTTTTTGTTTAGCTCTTACATGTGGTCCTATAAAACTTGGAACTTCTTTTATTTTAGCATGAAAGTGTTTTATCTCAAAGCAGTATGTCTTTCCTTCACAATACTGTGCAGCTTTTCCTCGTTAATTTTTAAAATCTTAGCAAAACATGTTACTTACCAATATAGTTCTTTGACATGGCAACTTCTCTGATTTCAATATGAACAGAGCCTCTTGGTATCTGCACCACTTCCATGTAGCCTGGAACACAGAAGACAGCCAGTAATAAGCAGCGTTGCAGCCTCCATCTGGACATGAGCGTTTAGGAACATGCAGCAATAACACTTCCCTTGTTCTCCACTCTGACTTTGCACCTTATAAACTTTGAAATATGGATAAACTTCCCTTTAGGTTCATGAATACACCTAGAGTATTTTTCCTTTTTTAAAAAATTATCTCAAGACATCTTTGAAGTATCAACGTGTGAGCTATTAGTTCATGCTTTTTCCCAACAAACGGCCTTCACCATCACTGCTCTACGGGGATCCCCATCCAAAAAAAACGTGGCTAAATGAAGTCAAATAGAAAGGAATAATATCTCCTTCAACATCTTACATGAAGCCACATTTGATATTTAAAGGACTGAAAGCAATGTGGGGAAAAAACGTTGCCTAAATGAAGAAATTTAAAAATATGGTGTGGGAAGAGGGAATCAAGTGTTCTGGATATTCCAAGTACACCAGAGGTGTGAAGAAGATTTCTCTCTACACACTCACCTCCTCTGGGAAACGAATCGTTGAAGAACCCTTCAATCGCATCACATGTGCTTCCATCCCCTCCACAGACTCGACATCTATCTTCCTTAGCATCGGATCCCAAAATATTATTACAACCTACATGCTGCAAACAGAGAAGAATATTCAGTGTGTCAAAAAGAGGGATTCTTGAAACCTTAACTAACCAAAGAAATATTACTTTGTTTTTCCAGCAAAGGAAATCAAAACAGGAAATATTTATTTCTTTCCACTTTTACCTTCACTCTCCAGGAAGTTCTAGCTAACCTTTCTCGACACATTTAAAAAATTTTAAGGTAAAAAAACCTGATTCCCCAGGAATGTGTGTTTCTATTTCTAATCTATGTTTCTTCAACTATAAATATCATGCTCCAATTCTTAAAATATTATGATTTCTTAGCAATAGATTCTTAATCATATACTCAGACAAGAAAGGCAAGAACTAAGAAAAATGGCATATGGTCCAATACAGGGTTATAAGCATGAGAGTCTTGACTGGGCATTATGGTTTGCCTTTCTTAAACCAGTGGCTCATTTGGATATCGAATTGTAGTATCACAGATTAGTTGTAGAATTCATGCCTAGGTAAATCTTTAAAAATGAATGCCTGTTTCCACTAGCTGAATAAAACTGCCATAAACACAAAGGAGATATAAGCATGCAATTTTAGAAGCTGAAGTTCTACCTTTCAATTTTGCATTTGATTATAGAAATGTGGATTTTTATATATTTTTAGTACATATTTGGGTTTATATGGTTGACTTTTAGCTATTGATACCAGGCATATAATCTCTGAATAAAATCTGCACCTGGGTCTTTGTTATTGGTAAAGAAAAGTTTTTATACTGTCATAGAAATAACTTTTTCTTCAAGTAAATAAGGAAACCACACACACACACACACACACACACACACACACACACACACCATCAGACACATTTGGAGACAAGAAGCCAGAAAGGCAGGAATTTTTGTAAGAAATAATATGATTAAGTTAAATAGTGTTTTATCTCTTCTTTCTCAGTTACTGGGACTTAGTTTTGCTCTTCTCTTTAAAGTAAAATAAAAACAAACATGGAAAAAAGTTATGAGGAACAGTGGTTTTGTGGCATTTCTTGTGGTAAGATTCACACATAGGTTCTAGAAAAACAGTGTGGATTTGCTCCTACAACTCCCAACTAGTCTGGCTAATTCTCTAAAGTAAATGGTTTAATATTGTAAAAACTAACTTTGTAATGAAAACCATTGTAAATGCTTCAAAAGGAGACAAAGTAGGAGTATAACTGTCTCACACTTTGAGGAAAAATTATGCTATGAAATAAATAATCTTCCAATGAAAACATATGATAGCCACATGAATAAGAGCTAAATCCTCATTCCGTCTCTTTCTATCATCTTGTTTGTAAACAGAAGAGAAATGGAAATCAGAGTCCAAAATATTTTCCTCATTCTAACAATCATTATAGACATAACTAGAACCCCAGAATAAATCACATTTGCATACTGTGACTATGAACTGGTCATTCTACCTTTAACTATATGTAATCGCCCTTATTGGAAATGGAATTTCTTTAAAATGTAGCTCTCTTTATTAAAACTGAGCACAGCATTAATTAGGAGCTACTACCTGAGAAAAAAGGCAAAAGTGTCCAAAAACTCAACAGAAAGGAGTGAAATTCATAATCTGAGCAACCTTGCATTCTCCATTGATACAGATGTCCAGTGAATCCGCATTGCACTGAGTTCCATCAATCACTGCAGGAGCACGTTCAGTGTAGAAATTGAAACCTTCAGCCAGGCAATTTAATGCACAAAGTTTTACCCCACCTGGACAAATACAGTAGAAGAGAAATAAATGGAGTGGTTCTCCTAAGGAACAGTGATTCGATATTACCCACAGCAAATTTACAATTCATATAGACATCATTCCTTGACTGTATACCTAGATGGGGTTTCTTTCCTCCTTTGCTAAATTTCATTTTTATATTCACTGTTTGTGCAACTTTACAGAGGACCTGTGGAGCAGTTTTGAGGTTTTAAATTTTCTGGTATTTCTAATACACATTTATAATTTAATTTAGATCAAATAGAACACAGTGACGGTACTGGAATATTGAAAAAAAAATGGATGAAATAACTATTTAAAAAAACTCAAGACATAAAATTTAAGGAGGCTTAAAACAATAACTTTGTATAACAAATAAGAATTTCTGCAGCATTGTCACCTGTTCCTGACGCTGATACAAAAACTCTGCTCCTTCAAGCAGGCATATGGTAGTTGTAAAATAAAACTAAATGTGTACTTGCTTTAAACATACCATATTCTATGAATCTAGCTTTAGCATAGAAATAAATTCTAATTAGATTAGCAAAGATAAAATTAACTATAGCATTAAATTAGAATATTCTTAATGAGATTAATAAATCAAAGATAAATATTACACATAAAATTGAATAATTAAAATAGTATCTAACTTCATTTTTGTGAATAAATACATGTAATAACTTAAGCATTTTCATTTTCTTAAAATTTGTACTAAGATTGATGGGAAAAACAGACACAAATAGTAGCAATTTAAAGTAACAACCCGAGTACATATCATAACCTTGTAGTGTAGTGGAAATTGAGCAATAAATAGGGATTTATTTTATTTAAAACAGTACAAGAAAAAGCTATGTATAAATACATAATTATTGATTGAAATCTGACTTAAAAATATTTTCTGTTAAACCTTCATTTCATGAAGTTTAAGACACTTTGGTCTTTTTCTAATTATGCTGATAAAATTTCTCTTCAAAATAAAAAAGACTACAGTTGACCCTTGAAATGCACTGGCGCACTTATACATAATTTTTTTTAAATGGATACAGTACAGTACTGTAAGTGTATTTTCTCTTCCTTATGATTTCCTTAATATTTTCTTCTTTCAGCTTACTTCATTGTAAAAATACAGTACATAATACAAATAACAAAATATGTGTTAATCAACTGTATATGTCATCAGTAAGGATTCCGGTCAACAGAAGGCTATTAGTAGTTGACTTTGGAGAAGTCAAAGTTATACATAGATTTTAGACTGCATGGAGGGCCAACTGCGCTAACCCTTTCATTGTTCAAGGGTCAACTGTTCTTCAGATAAAGAAAATGAAGCAACAAGATGAAATGACATGCCTAGCTCTCGGTGAAGGTAGAAACCAGGTTTCTGTGGTGAAGGTATGTGGAATAAAAGAGAGAAGCCAGCTGAGTAGTGGAGACAGTGATAAATTAGAGAGAGAACATTCCATTAAAGGAGATCACTGTTACAGTTTATTATTTTATACCAGAAGATGGCCTAATATTGTCAGATGCTCTATTTTGTCAAGAGAAAATAAAAATCGGGACTTTTAAAATATTAATTCTTCTTGGCAACTCATTCAAAATTTCCAAAAATACAGTGGATGCTTAAACATGTATGTAAGTAAACACTGGTTTCTGAACTCCAGTTTACAACCTCTGGCCTATGTTCATGTTTTCTTCTATTTTCAATGTCTAGAGGGTATAGAACTTATATATGACTTATAATATTATTAGGCTTAGGTTAATGATACTTTGCTATACTGAACACAGCAATAAAAAATAATAAATAAAATAATTTCTTCCTGAATTGATAATCAAGGTATTTATATTTATTTTTGTAAGATTCTCATGAATAAAACTGCTCTAAATTTTCTTGGATCCTACTGAGATTTTTTTCATTACTACCTAGGGCAGTTCTTTTTTCATTTGTTGTCATGCTTTGGAATTTAGTAGATTTTTATGTTTCAGGCTTTAAAAAGAGAATATGAGTCTTTTGTTTCCTCAATTTTAACATTGTATTAATTATGTAAGGTGGAATTTGATAGGCAGGACATATAAATGCTGTGGTTATATTCCTTAGCCCACTATACTATGTAATGATAATAATAAATTTCTTCTTTTTTTACTGCTGAACATGTGTTAGGCTTCCTCTGCTACAATTAGTTTTCAGAAGATGTATTGCTATTATTCCAAGAAGGGATGTAAGATAATTCTTTAAATGGAAAATCATATTACCAATTACTTTCAGTTAAAACTTGCTATGAATTTAGGGTTAATTCACTATGCACATAATTATGTAGATGCTAACTATTAAATCTGTGAATTATTTCAGATGCTTCTCTTCCTACAGTAAGATAAAATCATCCAAATGTATATGTACCTAAGAAAAATGATTCAAAGTACACAAAGCAAAAACCTATAAAAAACAAAAAAGCAAAACTGTATAATAATTGGAGATTTTAACACACTAGTCTCAGTATAGATAAAAACTAGAGCCAGAGAAAAACAGAAAGAATATAAAAGATTTGGACAACACTATCAGCCAGCTTGCCCTCATGACATCTACAGAACACTGTATTCAACAACTGCAGAAAACACATCCTTTTCAAGCATACACAGAACATTCACTAAGATGGACAATAATCTGTATAATGAAACAAATTTCAACTACTTAAAAAAATTAAATAATTCAGAGTATTCTTTGATCATAATAGAATTAAATTATAGATCAATGACAAAAAAATTTAGAAAATATAAAATATTTGGAAATAAAAATAACAGTTCTAAATAGCCATGGGTCAAAGAAGAAATCACAATGTAAGTCATAAAATATTTTGAACTGAAGGACATAAAACATAAAATTTTGGGAATATAGAAGAGCAAAATAAACCCAAAACAAGAAAGAAAATAATAGATATAAGACCAAAAATTAATGGAAGAGAGAAAAGACCGTAATAGAGAAAAGTACTAAAGCCAAATATCAGTCTTTGAGATAATTAGTAAAATTGATAAAATCTCAAGCAAGACTAATCAAAAAAAAAAAAAGAGAAAGAACATATCATCAACATCACAAAAGGCCATACATCACTACAGATATTAGTGGATATTAATATCCTACAGATATTAAACAGGATAATAAGAGAATATATTCTTTCAATAAATTGGACATGTATGTAATAAATTTCTTGAAGATGTATTCAAAAACTGACATAAGAATAAAAATTTTGAATATCCTTTATCCATTAAAGGAGTTGAAAAATTTGTAATAATTTTTTTTTTACACACACAAAAAAATACCAAGCCTAGGTAATTTTATTAGAGAAATCTATTCTAAGGAAGGAATAATACCAATCCTACAAACTCTTTCAAAATAAAAAGGATTTTATATCTGGAAGACAGAGTAACCCTGATACCAAAACCTGTCAAAGACATGACAAGAAAAAAATTTGCAAATCAGTCTTCCTTATGAGCATAGATGCAACAGCCTTAATACAATATTAACAATTTATTTTAATATTAGCAATTTTAATAAAAATTACTAATTACATCTAAAAATAAATCATCATCACATGGAGATTAAAGTGGGAATAAAAGTTGGTTTGACATCATAAAATCTTTCAACTAATTCATCATATAAACAGAATCAATACATGCACAAATTTTACTGAAAAGCCAAGTCAGTGCATTAAGGCAAAAAATGAAATAAAGGGCATAAAGACTGAAATAGATAGTTTCTATTTCCAAATAAAATTACTATTTACCAAGAAAATCCTAAACAATCTAAAAAATAATTATTGGAACAAATAAGGCAATTTAGAAATATCACAGAACACAAAGTTAACATATAATAATTAATTTTATTATTATATAATAGAGCAGTTAAAAATGAAAAAATTTTTAACTTTTATTTACAAGAGTGTCAAAAAATACAAATTACCCAGAAATAGATTTAACAAAAGATGCATAAGACTTTACACCTAAAACCCCTAAATATAGTTGAAAGAAATTAAAACATAGAGATATATACTATGCTCGTAAGTTGGAAAACTCAACATTGTTAATTTATCAGTTCTCTCTCAATTGATCTGTAGAGTCAATACAATGACAATTATAAGCCTAGTATGTTTTCCTGCAGAAATTAACAATTGTTCTAAAATTTATTTGGAAATGAAAAGAACATAGAGTACTCAAAGAACTCTTGAAAAAAAGATCAAGATTGGAGGAACTTATGCTACCTGTGTCCAGGACTAGACAGAATATTAAGTCAGTATTATTCTAGCATAGAGTTGACAAATAGATCAATGAAACAAAATAAAGTCCGTATCTCTATCTCCATACAAATGCACACCATCCCCTAAGATGACTTTTAGATTGTAGATCTAATATAAAGACCAAAGCCATGTGACTTTTAGAAGGAAACATTTTCTTGAGGTAGGCAAAGATTTCTGAGTCAAGACACAGAACACAATAACTATTAAAGAGGAAAATTAAAATAATTAGAATTCATCAAAATCAAAATCTTACATTCATCCAAAACAACATTTAAAAAGTAACAGGAAAGTCACACACTGTGAGAAAATACTCATAATACTTATCTGATAAATGATCACCACCAGATAATAAAAAGATAACCAATTACAAGACAGGCAAAGGATTTGAACAGATGCTTAACAAAAGAAGATATACAAATGGTCCATAATTAAACAAATATGTGCCCAACATAATCAATTATCAGAAAATGCAAATTAAAAATGCACTGAGAAACCATTATACACCCACCAGAAGAAGATTGAAAACACCAAATGTTGGCAAGGATGAAGAACAAAGAGAACTCTCACACATTGTTGGTCAGGAGTGTGATGTGGTACTTTGGAAAAACATCTGGTAGCTTCTTTTAAAACTAAACTCACACCTACCCTATTGCTTAGTAATTCTACCCCTAAGTATTTACCCAAGAGAAATGAAAACATATGCCCACAAAAAGACTTGTTCATAGCAGCTTATTTATAATGCTGAAAAGCAGAAACAACCCAGGAGTCCATCAAGAGCAGAAGAGAAAAACAAATTGGTTATTACAAATGGAATATTGCTCAGCAATAAAAACGAATAGACTATTTATACATGCAGTAATGTGCATGGATCTCAAAAACATTAGGCTTTAAAAAAGCCTTGCAAAGAAGAGTAACAACATGATTTCATTTATATGAAGTTCTGCAACAGGCAAAACTAATCTATGGTAAGAAAAAAAATCAGAGCAGTGGTTGCCTGTTAGAAGTAAGTAGAGGCAGCTATTGCCTGGGAAGGACTATGGGGTCTATGAGAATGTTGAAGTAATGGTAATGTTCTATATCTCAGTAGGGTTTTATAGGTGTATACATCTGTCAAAACTCAGGGCCAGTACAGTTAAGACTTCTGCATTTCATTTTATATAATCTTACCTCAAAAGAAAAAAGTAAATAAATACTAAACTGTAGTTAATTTAATACATGCTTAAGTACTCAGAGGAAATTATATAAATGATTACAATTTAATTTGAAATACATCCGAAAAATAGGATGGATTAATGAATGGATACAAAGATGACTAGACATGTAGTAAAAGAAAGTAAATTAAAACATTAATAACAGAATTTTGGTTGTAGGTATACAGTTGTTACTGTAAAATTCTTTTAATATTGTGCTTTGTTGGAAAATTTTCAAGATTTAGAAAAACATTAGAAGTCTTGTAATAGTACAAATTTTCCAAGAGAAAATTTTAACAAAATTTGGTTTGTATCTTGGGAGTATAAGAAAACTTCTTGTGCTTACTGGACAATTAGTGTTTGATGTATACCCAAATTTAAAAGCAAAAATGTTCCCACAAACTAAAAAAGAATAATAATAACCTATGCAAAGATCCTTGGCCTGTGACAAAAAAGAACACAGATTATCCTGGTCAATTAATTTTGAGTTGATATATACTGTTATAATTTGTTTTTAGGCAGATAATTCCAAATTTTCAATGATTATAAATGATTATAATGTAATGTTCATATACTCCAAGAAAGTCTCAAAAACTCAAAAATATGATTGGAATTATACCCTTTCTAGGACTTTTGTATTTGTTAAAATAAAATTTATGATCATTTGCACTACTATATAAAATATTACAGGGGAACTAAAACATCAGACCTTTACAGTACAGTAAGTACTGTGCTGCTTTGATTTGCAAACACTTGTTTTTACTGGTATGTGTATGAATGTGTGTGTGTTTGTATTTATATATTCTTTTGTATTTGCAAAGCTCTTAAGTGTGATGAATGCTCTGCCAGGTTATACATTACCTCCAGTATAGGGTTTCCAGTTATAATATTTTCCACGGAAAGGCATATTGTCAAAGTCTGCACACTGTTTCTCTCGAAAATCTTGGGCCCCCAAAGGACATGGCTAAAATAAAATAAAATCATAAATGGTACGATTGTTGAAAAATACCAAAACCAAGGGACAATGTCCCTGAAATTACAATTGCCTGAACTCCATCACATCAGCTCACTGCTTTTCTCTCTGGCTAAAATTCTGGCATTTGCCTCACTGTTTTACAACTAGTACTGAGACTGAAGTGTCTAAATTGTAATCTTAGCCACAGACGATATAATGGAAGAAATTTGAACAAAGTTAAGTGTTAGCTTCCACATAATTTTATGCTCAGATGCATGTCAGAGTCAAGTTTGCAATCAGTCCATCAAGTATCGCCTTATAAGCACACATGAAAACTAGATGAAGAAAACTAAAACACAAAATCCTTTTGGTAACAGTATTTGAGGTCCAGTGGCCACAGTTACCCCCTGTTCTTTATTTTACGGAATCAAGAGGGAGGTTTGTAACACGACCTTCAGCACTGTGAACTGTGGTTTGGATCCCTACTACTACAGCTGTTTACTGTCAAGCCCTGATAAAAAACATAGTCTAAGATGTGGAATGAACTGGACAAAATGCTAGGCCTCAGGTCTAAACACCTTCAAATTCCAGGAATTTGGATAATTAGATTTACATTTAATCTATTAACAATACAGAAAATAAAATACTAAATTGGTTCAAAAAATGTACATGTGTTGGGTAGGGGGGAGAGAAAGATATTGAGAGGGTGAAGATACCTGTTATTAAGAGTTTGAAATGCTTTTTCTACCTGAAGTTTTCAAAGAGGAAAAACTTGCCAATCTAGCCAGTTCTAGATTCCAAACACCACAGGGCTACCCTAAATTCAATCTTTACATTCACAATGAACTAAAAGTATAACATCCCACAATGTTTGAGCGATGTGACCTAATTTGATTTATCTTTTAGAATTCTGCAGCTGTATCACCTACGAAACAAAGTTACTGCTTTTGAAACACCCCTTAAATATGCAAGAACAAGTCATTACATTAAATTCTTAATTGCAAATAAATGAGGAGTATTTTTATAGACACTCCCAGAGATTATTTTGAGAACTTCTTACCACCCTCCCTTGGACCTCTGCATTTGCTTTATACAGTTTTCTAGGTCAGAATATTGCAAACGGTCCCTTGAAGCATGTACAAAAATAAAAGACCGCAAAGTGCAAATATTGGCATGGTCCTCATTACTTCCTATATACTGTGGTTCAAATTTCTACTATGAAGTCCAAAGCCTCAGATTCTGAAAATAGTGGCAGCAGGTCCACATTCTGTTATGAGCCCTGCATTTTAAATGTTCTGCACATTAAAATAGGACACTGCAGTGACAAACCTAATGATTCTGCTTGTCAGACTGTCCTTCTTACTTGCTCTAAAAAAATGAAAAATAACTGCTTACAATAGGTTACATCAATCTTTATGTTCACAACGAACTAAAACTGTAACATCCCACAATGTTTGAGCAATGTGACCTAATTTTGCTGGAGAGAGATGCTTTCAGGGTCTTTTGTTTCATGGTGTGCTAATCTTTGGGTCAAAGGAATACTTCCCTTTTCTAGACATTTAAAGGGAATCCCACAGAACTAAAGTAGGTGGCTTTGCCATGGAGCAAGACTAGCTTTTAAGCAAATATCATCAATTTTTAAAAATACAAGTAATTTCAACTCTAGCTACAAATTTTCACATAATACCCATGTACATGTAAAGCACCAACCACCTAAAAGTTCATCTGAGCATGGCTAACAATTTAGTTGGAGAAGCAAGACACAACTGGAAAAACTACAGCACTATTACAGGCAATAAGTATATGTCATATGTGTCAGCAAAAACAGGCTACCTATAGGTGCTGTATTTAAGAGAAAAATCAACCTGTCATGAGATTAGCTAGGAAATATTTGTTCAATAAGAAAATCTTGTGTATAATAATACTCATTCTTTATTACATTATAAAGTATTAAAGGAATTGAGCTGGTTAGGAGAGAAAAAGGACTTCTGAGGTTGGGGGTAACTATTAAGAATGAAGCCAACTACATGGAACAGGAGGGAAAAGGTCATATGTTGGGAATAGTTGGAAAAAGGCCAACCTAGGTGAAAGAAAGAAACTGCATGGAAGCATAAGAGGAGATGACATTTCACTGAAAAGCAGTGGTACATAAAAAAGCCCCAAATTAACAAAGGCATCATGAGGACTATTCACTTAAGAACAAAACAGAAGTCCTATTCTTGACTATTTTGTAGTGATTCTCCTAAATAGAACAGAAATAAAAGGTCCAATAGAAGGATAGTACTGCTTAGTGAAGCACTTAGATAACATTTGACAAGATTTCTGATCTATCTTTTCCTATGATAACCACTCCTGGGGTCAGTATAATGAAAATATTAAACTTGACAACAGCTGCTTTTCATTTACGAAGCATTTAGTGAGTACCTACTCCATGGCAACTGTTCAGAGGTCTCTAAGTGTATTATTTATTTAATCTCTCTCAACATTCTTAAGAGGTACTTATCATTAAGAATCTCATTTTACAACATAGTAAACTGGGTACAGAAAGGTTGCTTAGTAATCGTTTCAGGATGCAAAGACCCCTCCCTCATGAGTGGAAGCCTCACCCTGGGCGCTCTAAATGCTAAATAATAGCAGAAAGTTTTAACTATGTTAACATGGACAAAAACCTAATAGGAGTAACTCAGGTTCTAGACCTAGCTCTTTCATTACCAGCTGCAAGTTTTTTATCTTCTCCAAACTAGGTTTTCTCATTCATAAAATGAGAGGGCTAAAAGTAAGAATTTTGGAGTAAGAGCTGGATTCAATTCTAACTTGGTCATTTATTAAATCATGGCCTTGAGCAATGTATGTGATTTCCCAAGCCTCATCTATTAACTGGGGATGATACTAGTATTCACCTTCTAGGTGAGGATTCATGTAAACTCTTTACTCTGTACCTGGCATATGGTAGCACTGAATAATTATTAGCAACTGTGCTGATCTTGGGTTTAGGCATCCTTAGACTCATTCTTCACCCTCTGCTGCTCTACCCTGTATTTCAGGAGAACAAAGTTGGCAAGCTCCACTCCCCAAGTTTCTGTGTCAGTGGACTTCTGGCTGAATTCAGGCAGTGGAAGACAGTAGTGGGAGAAGCCAGGGTTTTCTCTCATTTCTCTCTACCCCAGGCAGCTGCTTAAGCAGAAGCAGAATCTTTTTATTGTTCCAACTTCAGGCAACAGGAACACATGCCCCCACTCCCTAATCCCCCACCCCATCCAATAGCTTTACCTTCCACTGTGTGATTCTGGCCTCTGGACTCAGATAAAACTACCTCCTTCCTGGGTCTTCCTGGAAGAAGTGGTGGCTTTTTCCTGCTGATGCTCATCTATGAGTTTGTCAGTCTCCTCTGTGTAACCAATTCTTTTTGTATTAAATGCCCTCCATTAAAATTTTCAGAGTGGTTTATATTATTATGGTTGGATCTTTACTGGTAAAATAATCAATAATAATAGTAATAAATAATAGTAATAATGATGAAGTATTTGAGAGGCTAAATAGAGAGATGTTTCCATGTGTGGTTTTTTGCGGACAGTTTATTGGTTAAGGGCAGAGGTTGGCAAACTTTTCCTGTAAACGCCGCATCTTAGACTTTGCATGCCATACCATCTCTGTTGCACTACCAACTCAACAGTGTGAAAGAAGCCATAAACAATACATAAATGAATAGTCAGGGTTGTGTTCCTATAAAATTTTATTTACAAAAGAGATGGCAGACCAAATTTGGCTTAGGAGATGCAATTTGCCAACTCCTGATTTAGGGTGTTAATGTAACAGGTGCAATGTCTGTCAACATTTTGCAGAAGAACCAAACTAAATTATTAATTTTGGAGTCAACACAGAATCAGACATTTCTAAGAGTTGATGTTAGACTATAATCCAATTTGCAAGGATGCTTAAATTTCCACTACAATTACCCCCAAAGTGATCATATAATCTTTACAAACATCTATAGAAAGATCAAATACTTTTCAGACAGCTGCAGTTATTTTCAGGTTCTTTCTTACTTTAGCCCAAATCTGTCTTCTTACAAACCAGTGATCTTGCTCCTTTCTTCTGGATCCACACTGAGCAAACCTAATCTCTCCCTGAAAGATATCTAGACTTGATGGCTTTGCTATAGGCACATCATGACTCATCATTAGTCTTCTTAAAACCAGGCACCAAGAACTGGCCTTAGGTGTCTCTCTTTGATTCAGCAAATATATATAAAATGATTATTATGTGTCACTTAGGCTCTCGAGATAAAGCAGAAAACAAAACAGATTGGGTCCCTGTTTTCATGTAGTTCACTCTGGTTGGAGATGAGAAAGAAGAAAAATAAAGTAGGAAAGAGGATTGATGGTGAAGTGAGAGGGAAGTTGTTTTAAATAGTATGGTCAGAGAAATTCTGAAAAAGTGGCACTTGAGCAGAGTTAAAAGAAACTGAGACAGTAACTTAAACGCCTACTTGTGAAAGGAGCATTTCAGGGAAAAAGTGCAAAAAAGCTCTGAGGGCTCTGTAGATTCAGGGACTTGCTGACATGCCTTTTTGTTTCTAGAATATATGAGCTAGCGTTCTTTTCTTCTGATTTCAATATTTCCTTCAGGAATGCTCTGAATTTGTGTTGAGTAGAAATAAGCTCAGTAGGAGTTGTATAAGCTGATTCCAAAGGATGAGAGTGATCAAAGAAAAGAATAAGTTCTTAAGGAGAAATATAAAATATATTTTTGTTCTATTTAGGAATAGTGCAGAGTTTAAGGAGTAATGCTTTTTGAATTACCAGAAGGAACATAAATGCTGACACTGTGTAGAAACCCTGAGAGCAAACGGTAGCCATAAGCAACTCATTGTTAATGTAGAGCCTGACAAGTTTCCAGCCTCCTAGTGTTAACACTACCACGCACATCCTGTCCTTCCAAGAACAACCAGTAGGGCCCCACATAAATCCAGAGAGCAAAGCAGCAGGTTTCAGCCTCTTTTGATCTTA